CTCTAGTGACAATCAGTAGCCATTTGTGGAGAAAGCATTAAGGTTTAGTAGGTTAAACTGCAGTTCTAACTATATGTACTTTCCATCCAAAACAGCTTACTTTCTGCTGTGCAAGGTTATAGGATGATACTGTAGACCCACAGGCTGAAGTAGCTGATAGAGAGGAGTTGCAAATTCCATCCCCTTCAGAGTGAAACTGTGGTACTAAATGTGAAACACGTTCTGCAAAGAGAGATGGAGACGAGCAATGCAAAATTGCAGTTTGGCAGCTGCCAGTGAAAACTGGTAATATTTAACTTTGGGGGAAAAAAAGGAAAAAATTGTGACCATTTAAGGAATCCAGATTTTTACCATAAGCAGCATGATTTGGAGGCTCAAGGTTACTGACTGGCTTAGATTCACCTCTGAGAAATTATATTTTCCATATATTTTATATAAAAATGGTTATTCCTCAGCCTGATCTGAACACTGATTCCATTCAGACTGTTGATACACTAGAATAGTCCATCACAGCACAAACAATCTTAAGATTCCCTAAATAGCAAAGCAGCAAAATAAAAAAGGCTTTTCATACACTGCATATATACAGAAAATTGACTAAGTCCAATTTTAGAAAGAAATCTTTATAGATTGCCTTTTATAAAATACAAATATTTGGAAATATGGGAAAGTACTGTTAATGCATCTAAAATGATTTTAATTCTAAAATCATTGCCGTAGCAGAAATTCACTGGTGATCACAAATGTTGCTGGTATTCTTATAGTCACAGGATGGGCTTCCTCTCATAAGCTTTAACTGTCGAGGAAGGCATCTTGCCTAAGCTATCTTTCTGGGCTCTCTTCACAGTAAATGGCAGCACCTCCAGAGTGTAGTCTTCCCAATCTAACGTCTATTAACAGATGGAAAAAAATTCCTCAGGGACATCTCTTTCTCCATTTACAGCAGAGGGAAGCGAGTCTCAGCTGACAGCTGACAGCAGATGCTCACCTTTTAAATTGTTAGAAGTGGGTGCGGTGGATGCCATCCATGGCAGCTTTCATCCCTTGAAAGTATGGCGCTGGACTGTACTAGGCTATTTGCAGAGATAATGGCTGCATCTGCATCAGTGTTTAGCTCACATGGGGAGTAGGTTTTTCATCCAGATCAGCCCTACTTACTGTGCTGTGATTCACACTGCATAGCAATACAAAATGGATATCTTCCTGAGGAAGTTAAACTGGAAGATAAACTCCCAGCCTACACCTCATCCACAATTTACAGCTAGTCCAAAATAAGCCCCCACAAATGTGTATTGTGTGAATGTTAAGTCCTCAGCACCAACTGTTTCACTTTACAGAACCACTCCTATTAGGCAGCACTACTTGCTAACATACAGGAAGAAAGACAGCTGATACAAATCAACTCCATGTTTCCAACTTACCTGCGTATAGTGTTAAGTATGATGGAGATTTTGAACTGACACAGGAAAAAAACCAGAACTGTAGACTGAGGACAGCATGGAATTAAGACTGTAGTCTTAATGCTACTGACTGTAGCTGTTCTGACTGCCGCTGAGTAAAATTAAAGGGTTGCTGATCCCAAATGCTCTCAGCTTTCCCTTACTGCTCATGTGCCAAAGGTTGCCACCCCCTCATTTAGCATAGCTTAGAAGTGTATTTGTTCCCTCGCCATGTTTTCTTTCCTAATAGTCCAGGCTGGTTTAAACACTTGAATAGCGAAGCCTGAACTGTGTTGCCATCCATCAGCATAATAATTCTTCAGTAAACAATCTCACTCCCCCAAACAACGCAAGATTAGCTTCAAAATACAGAAGATCTCTAAAAAGTGTATTTGTTGTTTATGTGCTGTGTTTTGAGCCTTTATGATTCATACTTGCACATTTCTGCCCAACGCTGGGCCTTAAAAAAATACCAGTTTTCTCAAAGGAACGCTAAGATTTTCAACTAATCGCTTGCTTAAGCAGCCAAAGTTTAAGAAAGCCAGTCAGTTTAATGTGAGTTAAGATGCAAATCTCAGAAGTTTGGCAATGCACTTGAATTGCATCCACACGCCCCACTCGCGTTGAACCTGTCATCTGGGGGACTTCCCATGTGAGCGTTAGGAAAAGTTTGAAGGAGAAGAAAGCCTGTTCAGTGAGGTCTGTTGGTATGCCAGGCCATTTTATCACACTGGGCATAGACTGTTAAATCTTGGTAGCCAAAGCCCAAGGCAGATCTTGTTGCGTATTGTAACTTCTTTTAGAGTGTTTTGGATAATCAGTTCAGTAGTTTTACTACCCTTGGCTTTCTAATAAGAATTATAAGGCATGGATCAGAGCTGGCTGGTTGTTTAGGCAATTAAACAATTATTAAAAAAAAGACAAAGGCATACTGAGAATTACTTACGATATTTTTTGTTTGTACCACTGTTGCATTTTTAAACTTCTCAGCAAAACTGATATTATAATAGGAACAGTGTTTATACAGAGTCTTAAATTTCTGTTAAACAACTGTACCGTATCTTAAATGACAAGAAATTTCATCTAGCACATGCCAGAGGCATGCTGAAGATTTTTCCAACAGCTCTGATTCATATTCTTGAATTCATTTTTTCTTAGAGATATAGTATAGACAATCATTTTATTAACAACCAGCTGTTTTAATATTCATTGCAATAAAGACATTATTCTTCTAGAACCCTCAGCACAAGCGGTTCTATATTGTAGAGCCAAACAAGAGTGATTACTGCCAGAATTAATGAGCCTTTCCATACCCATATGCCATATACACTGTAATTCATCTGCAGTGTAATCACTAACTGAAAATGTAGAACTGACTGCAGGGGACAGGACTCAATCAAGTGATTCCTTGCGGCCCTGTATTCCTATGTGTCCAACCCTTACACAGAAGCTTGGAGCACAAGCTTGGAGCCCCTTCTTTATGACTTTTTATCTGTAGATATCAAAGTGTTCTACAAAGAAAAACAATTATATTTGCATAATTTCATATATAGGAAGTTGGAACACAGAAAGGTGAAACAGCTTTCTACGTGTCTGGTGATAAATGGGAGAAGAGCTGCAAACAGAACCCACATTTATGGACTCTGCCCTATCCACAGAAACATGCTGCCTCCCAGTGCTGTCTAGATATACCAGGCATCTGCAGAGCTGTATTTTTAGCCCTGATATTCTCTTGGGCTGGAACTGGGCCATGAAGATTCACAGTAAGCTAAAGACTGTAAATATCCCTTAGACTTTATAGGAGAAAACTGGCATGATATCAAAGCAGAACAAGCACTTTCTTTAATTTCAGCTTTGTTAACCACTGTCATACTTGAAAGATTTCCCTGCAAAATAAGGAAGAACCAACCAGCTGCAGCATGTTGTAAACAAGCAAAAATTAGAAAGAAGAATTCCTGTAGACTCTATCATTCATGATAACAAAATCATTTTTTAAGAAGTACAAATCACGGAGGTTTCAGGGGTTTTTTTCAGACTTAATGACGTATGGTGGTCATTAAGCCATAAACAAAGAATCTTTTCATCTCCACTAATACTGTAAACGTTCATGTTCTCCCAAGCCACTTCTCTGTAGGAAAAGGCCAAATATCCCCGTGTATTTCAGATGCACTGCTCTTCCTCAAAATGACATTACCACTAAAATATTAAGGCTCCGTAGTTGGTTCAGAATTCCTTTAAAAATTTAGAGCCTCTTTTTGTCCTGTTTTTGGGGGTGTCTTTTGACCTCTGTTGATCCATAGCAAACTCAATACATTTATTTTAAGATTACATACAATTCTATAAAGCAGAGGTCTCATAGAAAAGTGGAAAAAAATATCTTAAAGATCACAGACAGCAAGTAGTGTATACGTACATCATCTTGTGTGTGTCATGAAAGCACTAGTCCTCAAGAATACAAGGATAAGTTTTCTCTAGCAAGTAGTTAATTCTGTTGAACAAATACTCCTGAGGAAAGATAAAGCTAAAAAAAAGCTTTTTCCTGCTACACTGTCAGGAAAATACTTGAATGCGCTGAGTGATTTCTGAGAAAAGAGCCAGGGAAAATCAGAATGGTGCACTCTCGTTAGTGAGACATGGTATGGGTTCTGTGAACATACTTTCAAAATAAAGGATTGGACTTTTTTATAGAAACATTTCATATGGTTGCAAGGTACAGCAGTTCTTTTGCTTGTAAACTAGTCACTGCTTCGCCCTGAATAGCAACACATGCTAGTTCTGAGTGGAAGAATTTTTCCCAGCAAGTTAGTGCTCTAATTTAGTTTTTCTGAGACACTGGGCCAGCGTGATTAGCATTCATTTTGCACAGGAGAAGAGCTTGGATAGCTTCTACATTCATTCTGCTTTTCTCTTCATTCCATACAGTATTCCTTCTAGTCAACAGTCATTCCCCTGGATACCATTCATTTCTGATTAACACAGGGGAATTTCTCCAAAACATGGCTTGCAGGCAATATGTTTCCCATTAAATGCTCCCACATTGCTTGCAGCCAAAGGAAATTAAAACATTAAAAGTTACCAATAAAGAAAGCTAAAATTGATGTTCCCTTCAGTGTATTACTTTCTCAGTCTTGTTGCCAGCTGATAAGAGGCTACTGACCTAATAAGTAGTTTGTATTTCTACAGAAAGAACAACTTGAGTAATAACATGAGAAACTCAAGCCAGTGTAAAGACTCTCAAGAAGCTGCAGAGATGTCACAAGAAAAACAGAAACAATCTGCTAACTCTGGCATATGGGGTCTCTATGGGTCCTAACCTAGACAGCATATAAAACTGCTGCCAGTACTGAGAATAATTTATGCCGCAACACATTATTTGTAGTTAACGTCTTGTGCATTTTGCTGCAGCAGCCAGAGTAGGGTAATTTAAATTATTACTTTAATGTAAGAATATGCTGACCTTTCTTCTCAATTGTTAAATCGATGGGCAGGGAGGATAGATGTAAAACCACAGAGTGTTTTTGACCTGCCCGTTATGACAGTAGTGTCATGGGTTTTTTGCAGAATGAGGTAGCGACGCTTCTCAAACCAATATCAGAGAAGATTCAGGAAATCCAGAACTTCAGAGAGCGGAACAGAGGAAGTAAGATGTTCAACCATCTCTCGGCTGTCAGTGAAAGCATACCTGCACTTGGTTGGATAACAGTGGTGAGTCACAAACAGGAACGTTGGGAGGGTTTGAAGGTACTTCTGGGTGGTGTGACCCAGAACACTTCCAAATATTGCTGAACTTTGCAGTCTCATCTGCGTAGTCATTCAGCCTACTACACCTTAGAAGGTGTTTTATAATATACCTAATATATCAGGGAAGGTGTCTTACTAATGTTTTACCTCCTTTCTCTTTCTGTTGTTTCCTGCTACTATGCGGTGATGGTCCTAGTCTCCTAAACCAGGCCCTTATGTCAAGGAGATGAATGATGCCGCTACCTTTTATACTAACAGGGTATTAAAGGACTACAAGCACAGGTACGTTGCCAAGCCTCAGTATCTGCTAGCCACAGGGAGAGAAGAGAGCATTAACCATACTAATAGCGTTTGCAAAGCCATCACAAAAAAAAGTTTTGTAAACTACAAAGTATTTGATTCAATTTGATTGCAGTTGCATATTTTCCCCTCCTCCTCTTTGACCTGCAGTGTATTGCAGCGAGAAGGGCAGCAACACTAGCAATGCTAGTGTTGGCTCTCTGCAAATTGTATGGTTATATTTCATGTTCTGGGGTGCCAGCATCATAAGCATACATGCAAATGTTTATTTACATATGAACGCACAGCTAGCTAGCTGCAGCATGTCCTTGTCTCACTTGTGCACCGACATTGCTGCTGTTCTTGCTCTGTGCTTGAAAATGAGCACTTAGGTGTTGGGAGTATACAGCCGAGCATCTACTTCCATAGTTCACAAAGTGATTTTCTGTACTATTGTGCTGTTTTTAGAGAGCAAAAGGAACTCACAGAAGAGATCTATGAATGCAATCTGACAGAGAAAGGGAGAAACTATAGATCCTTCCTATGCCCTTTCAGTGAATCCTGTTGACTTGGCATTTTTGGAGGCCAGATTTTGGCCCCTTATTTTATACCCTCAGTGAAGAACAGTAATTGCAGATTATTTTTTTCGTCTTTAATGATCATTTTGTATAACAAATTAGGCCGATATGAAACCCATGTTTTGTCCTTTTGTTCATATTAAAGCCAGCTTTACTGCCGCTCTAGTTCATGCATCTAGCACCCAGCATCTAGCCTTTATCTAGCACCTTTCTTTTGCATAGGTGTAGCAATTCTTGAACCATTTAATCTCTCTTGGGTAAAATCTATGCTGATATTTCTATATATGTATATACGTGTGTGTGTGTGCCTGTGTATATATACATATATTTATATATTTATAATGTAATTTTTATATACTTATATTTATTTTTTATATATACTTATATATTATTCTTGAAGCCCTCGTTTATCTACTTGGCATAAGTGAAGTTCTTGGTAATGTAACTTTAGAAATACTTATTCTGGAGAAATAAGAGGTCTCTCATAAAGGTATAAATAGGGTCAGAAATATTAGTCAGGTATTAGGTTAGTTCTCCTAATGAGGAATACTTTTCCTGTTTTTCACTGAATATTTGATCAGATCATAATGTCTTCCAAAGCAGTGGAAGGTTCTCTCTTGAGTTCAGTAGGCTTTGGAATAAACCCATTGACCCAGATCCTCAGCAGTATTAAGCATCAAACTCCAAAGGAAGTAAGTTGGAGGTAGGGACCCAAATCCTTGTGAGCATCCAGTCCTTAGCAATGCATAGATTCCTTAAGCAATTCTTAACTGGATCTTCATAAGTAAGGACGCCATCCTACAAGTAGTTTCCCCTGTACATATTTCTTGTTCTCACTTGCTGTCCCATTGGAAGTCCAAGCCTCTCAAAGAATTATCCCAGAGCCAACTTAGACCTGTACTTTTAAATTCTTGACTTACTTATAAATATCTTAGTCTGATCACTGTAACATGGTCTAGAATTATCTAACACAGAGCTGGGTGAAGCCTGTTTTATGAACAGTCCTCATTCAGTTAGGTTCTCTTAGTTTTGTGACACTGATGTGACACTGGCTGTGACACTGGCTACATTTGAACTTAGAAGCTAGAATTTTTTACAAAACCCACTGATTTTTCATTTGCTAAAATTCGGGACCCTGACACTGAGTCTGGGTAGCTGGTACAGAGCTCCATATAGCTTTAGCGCTACTTCAGTTGACTTTGAGCCTGAGCAGGATGGTGACATACCCTGCCAGCATGAAGCAGTCTGTGCTAGAGCCATCCTTTGCCCTTGTTTGTCCTCTGGAAGGAGGGAAAAGCTTTCCAGTCTAGTAGGCCTCATTATCCGTAGTACTGGGCTGGCTGGCTGGATGCCTGCTGATTTGTCCATGGCTTCAAGGCAGACATTGGCCTTTACCTGCTTCAAACATGGGCAGCATCGCTTTCTATTTTTAAGCACAATCATTCACACGTACAAATATTGTCTTTGTTTTACAGTGATGAACGCCATGTTGATTGGGTGAAGTCATATCTGAACATCTGGTCTGAGCTTCAAGCTTATATCAAAGAGCATCATACCACAGGTCTCACCTGGAGCAAAACTGTAAGTACTTCATGAAGAACCTTAAAATAACAGTAACCACTTTCACTTTTCATGGAGGTTGTAGGTCAGGAAAATAAGTATAGTAATATAATAAAATATTATATAGTAATATAATACATACAAATATCTAGGACAGGAACAGAAGTCATGGTCCATGGACTTCCCAACCAAGCAATAAAGATTGAAAAGCAGATGGAGGAGATATATTGTGGTACAGGTTTCAAGGAAGACAGAAGAATTATTTGGGAGCGCTGTAGCCATAATGCCCAGCAGCAGAGCAAGAGCAAAGCAGACTCCGTTCTCCAGGTCTGCTATGGCAGAAGATAAGAACAAAAACAACAAAAAAAAAACATTTAAAAGGGACCGTCAGACTAAAGGAAAATTGAGAGGGGAAAGAATCTAAAAAGAGAGAGAAAAAGAAACACAAGGGATACATAGCAAGTTGTTACTTCGTAGATAGCCATCTTTATAAAATTGTTATTTTATGCATATAGAAATAGTTTCTGAAATACATACTTCATATATATGTATGTATATCTAGAGAGAGAGAAAATATAATTGTGTGCATAACTTTATACTCTATATATTTATATAAACATTTTCTGCGTGTTACATCTGGGATGCAAGGCAAGATGAGGGCAATGAATATTTTTCTCTAAAAGAGGTGTAAATATGAAGAATTAATCTCCTATTGAGTATAAATGTAAGACTTTATGCCCGCTGTCTGCATTAAGGCAGTGTTCCACCTGGGATTAGAATTATGTACTCACACATTTATTATCAAGCGAGGAGAATTATTGAAGCACATCAAAAATATAATCAGCCAGCTCTCTGGTGTTATCATCTCCTAAACTTATCAGTGCACAAGCATACTTGTACATACAGTCATTCACACCAAGGCAGAGTATCTTTTTTTCTGTACAGGCAAATAAACTTTAAAAAATTAAATGACTCTTAAGTGGACTGATATAAGCCACCAGATAAATAAATTCCCAGACCAAACCAGTGTAACAGCTTATGGACATAGGGCACTGAAGTACAGTTTTGTGACAGATCTTAACATTATATCTAAAGAAGTTACTTCATCTCCTTTTTTGCAGAGGTGATAACTATGTGAAAGAATGTCATCCTCTCTTATAGTTTCCTGCCAGTTACTCCCTCAGCCAGGGAGTCCTCCCCCAGGACTTCATTCTGCATGTATTAATTCTACCTAGCTGCAGGACAAAGGGTAAACTTCCCATCAAATATAATAGGAGTTGGATCGTCCCTGTGAATGTTACATGTCAGGAAAGGTAACTATTGACATGGCTTCTCAGAAAAATTTATATATAATCTATGACTTGCACATGAGGAGCTGATACTTCTTCATCATATGCCAAATACTTAACTTTGTTGTGCTCAACAATACCCTTTGCAACTTCAGCTTTGCACCCTTCTCTAGAGATTGTACAAGATCTTAGAGTATTCAAATATTCAAGAGCAAGTTCAAACACAGAGAACCTATGTCTGTGTGTACTTTTTAGTTTGAAGCAAAGTAAAAATGTTTAAACCTAATAAATTAGATGTCTGAAATTAGCTGCTGCTTTGCAGATTTCTGTAGAAACAATTTAAAATATTAAACGTGATTCTCTTATTTAGTACAAAATTACACACTTGCTACATCCTATTCTGCTTTAATCAATGAATGTGATAAGAACTAATGATTCTAAAATGATTACTAGATAAGGGGGAAAAATGTAGTACCCTGTCAGCAGAATAAGCCTGAGAATCTGGGCCAAATTTATTTCTGTTAATACAGAGAAAGAATCATCTTCACCTTTAATGGAACTTTACAAGTACGGAAACAGTGTTATAAGACAAGGTTTTACTACTGTCATTTTATCAAATAGGAGTCATTCTCAGTGTTGTAAGTGCTGGCAATCTTGTCCAGAAGTGTAGCTATTGCAGATCATATTTAGTCTTAAAAACAGCATCTTGGCCATCACGTCTCCGTATTTCCCCTTCTTCAGTTGTACAGGAAATTGAATACAAATCAAACTGTGACTGTTTGTTCTTATTAAGGATAGTTCCCCCAAACGGTGCTCATTCTGCTATGAGTGATGAGCCCATTACAGCCTCTGAAGTATTGATATCACTAATTTTGATATCACTCAGATCTGAAAGAGGTTGTATTGGAAGTATGGGTCATTTAAATTATCGTTCATGTCATGTGTGGCTCAAAGATTAAAATACAAACACATTTTTGTGGATGTATAATTTTTTAAGGTTTTTACTTCATGTACACGTAATGAAATTAGAATCCAGTAAATTAGCCGGTTGTTTAAATAGCTTGTTGTTTAAATGTTATTTAAATAGTTTTATGAAGCTTGGTAACAAATACATTCAAGAAAGCAATGAGTTACTAAAGCGATGATTTGATTTTTATTATACATTTTAAAGTTAGAATGAAACAGTTAGTTACAGACTCCTGCTGTGTGAAGCTAAGCATAAAGGTCTGCAGAATCAGGGCCTAGGCAGAAATACAGTACATATAAAAGCTGAAGAAATATTCCAGACACAGTTGTTAATCATTGCACACAGCAGCTTCCACTTATATGCATAAAAGGAAAAAGCAGTAGTTTGGCAAGGCATTGAGAAAGTGACACATTTATGAAAGGCAAAAGTTGATACAGAAATGCTATTTTATAGAAGGAGAGAGAGAGAAAAAGTCTTTTGCCAGTACGAGTACACATTTATAAGTATATTATACCAATAATTTACCCTTCCTAGCTATAGAAGTCAACAAAGCAATGCTAGAAGCTTTATATAAAAAGCTACTAAGTAACTTATTTGGGCATTTCTAAAGAGACTGAGGAGTCAGGGAGAACATTAACTACTGCTTCTTTCCAAACTGTATTCTCATAGCTTGAACTGCATCGAAAACCCAGTAGCATCAGCCTAGCTCAGATTAAGCTTGAATTTACAAAGAGGAAGGGACCGGTTTTAAAATGGGCAGTTGGCCCCTTTACCTAATGGTACTGTGTATTGTAGTGTGCGTTTCTGGCTGTGCTCCATGGCAGTATCACAAAGCCGCACAATTTCCAGCCCCCACATACCCTGCCGTCAAGCTGCCGAGGGCAGCTGCAGCGAACCTTGGAACGGATCATTAGTGCGTGTTGTCAAGTGTCCCTGTCTCTGGCAGCAGCGCACACACACTTTAGAGGAAAGTGAAAGAAATGTCAAATTACAAGACAGGGACACTAAAACAGGGGCAAAAGGTTGAAGGAATAGCTAAGCAATAACAGGTACCTCTATCAGCTTTATAAAATATTGGTGATAAAAACAGATGCGTACAGATTTTTGTATCTGACAGAGTTCTCCCTCCTTACTCACTGTGGTTCTGATTCTGCCACGGTGTGTCACAGTATCTGACGCCGTGAGGGCATCCTACTGAAATGTGTGCGACTGCGGGAGGAGAAAGGCATCTGTGGAGATCTAAGAAGTCTATGGAGTTAAGCACAGTAAAACCTTTGTGTATCTGAGCCGGTTTTACTCCTAATGGGGAATGATGGTACAAAACTGGTCCCTAGGTAAAGCCACAGGCCTTTCAAGACATTGTGGATACAGTTAGGATATTTGTCGGTATTTTGTTCACAGAAGAAATCTACATATTTAAAGTATGCGTGTTTGTGAGCAGGATTATCCTAGAGAACAAAATGCTGCCGCTGTAAACTTTTATCATGATCTGAAGTCTTGATATTCATTAACATTAGCAAAAACGTGCATGTGTCCGAGACAATAAGCTTGTCAGTTGAAGTCAGAGGGATCTACAGTCATTTCCTTAAAAGTGTAATTTTGGAGTTCATTATCTTGACTGTAAAGTATGAGTGTCCTTCGCCACACACACCCTGTGGTCAGTAGCAGTTCACTATACTCACTATATCTCAATTTAGCCATCTTGATAATGGGAACAGCAGCAATTACCAGCCTAATGGAGATTTGCAAGTTTTAATTTGCTACCAGATTTGACATTCTCACATGTCAGTGAGTTTTGTGCAAAAGCTGTTATTATAATGAAATGGTATTATAATGAAATGTCTGATATAGCATTTTACCCATGCAGCAATTCATGTTTGCTTGTTACAATGTTCTGGCTTTAACATGAAATCTACAGCTGTAGCAGTAACCTATGTCTTTTTTTCAGTTGTCACTGATAAGCAGCAAGTGTCTTTTTTTTTTTTTTTTTTGGGGGGGGGGAGGGACCTAAAAGGGATTCTATTGAAGCGTGGCTCTTTTTTCTTTCCTTGTTTTTTTTTTCCTCTTTTTTGGTGGTGCAAAGAACTGAACAGCTGTAATATAACTCACCAGAATGCCTCATAAAAGTTTGTTTGCTGCAAGGATTGCACAAGTAAGCTGGGGGAAGGGAAACTTCTGCTCTTATTTCTACAGGTTAACTTTGCAGCAAGAACATAACTGGCAATAATGAGAGCTTGCTGTAGTTTCCTGAACATAAAATATGCGTTAAGAAACAAAGCCTGCTCAAGGATTATTGTCCTAAACACTCCTCTCAGCTGCAGGGGAGCTGCAGTAAGTTTTTTGTTGTTTGTGTACAGTAGTCATTTGGGTCAAATTTTGCCAGCAGGATTTGAAGAAAAATTCACAAAATAGGGGTGAATTTCATCACAGTGTTTGGGCTAATACTGAATTTCGCTCAAGTTACAAATAATGCTCTCCCTCTATTTATAAATCAAAACAAATTCTTAGGAGGAAGTTTGCGTCTTTACAAGCAGTTGAGACGTGTTTATATCCTGCTCCCAATTGAAGCCAATATCATTTTAAAATGATACTTCAGGTCCTGATATATCATTAAAAAAAATATTTATAACTCACCATATAGTATTCTAAAAATGCTCTTTGAAAGTTGAAATTCTCCACAGGCATCTTTAGTGAAAGCCACCAATAGCTCAGACCCACTGAGAAGTACCATCGTAATTCATATACAAGCCTGATTGAGTGTGATT